GGTAGGTATCCATGTAGGATCTTTGGTGTTGTGTATCGTGCTAAGTGTTCAACATTGTGTTTCGTTGAACCGTGTGGTGTCTTGTATGTTCCTCGGAACTATCTTGAGTTTCCTCGTTGTTGAGCTTGCTAGTTATTATCTTAATGCTAGCGTCGTTGTTGTCGATGGGTGGTGACCTGTCTCTTGATTGAGTATGTTTCATACCTTCTCTTGCAATCCGTTGCTTGTTTCGTGTGAGTGGTGGTGCGTGGGTGGCTCTACCTGGATTGCACGATTAGTGGTATGGGACACTAGTCACCAAGGTATTGCAACGGTCCTCGTGGTGGCCGTGACGTGATTTCATGGAGTTGTGGCTGAGTCCACGTGTTTGGGGGATAACATTGTGTTATCCGGGCATGTGTTGCCGTGAATTGGTGGGTTTTTGTTGGTGGTTATAGGTGGGGGACGACGGTCCCGGAGGAATAAGGTTGGACTTGGCTGTACAGGGGCTTTCTGGAGGTAATGGTTGGCACCGAAGGTACAAGGTTGGGGGTAGCCATAAGGTTGGAACAGGGCATAAGGAAGGCATATCAACTCGTGATGGGTGATGTGACGAGGGCTTGTGAAGCCGTTGTTGTGGTGAGTTCTCTTCTCTCGTGACGTGTGTAGTCACGGAGGCTTGTGGTGTGGTGTTTTGGCATGTGTTGTCATTGGGTGAGTTTTTATCCTTGTGTGTGGTTAATCTTTGTGGTTGGGATGTGTTCCCGGTTTTATCCTTGTGAGTGGTGAGTCTTGTGTTGTCTTTTGATCTTGGCTTTTGACTTATATATATGTATTCCGTTTTGAAAATGGTTTTCATATTATATATCTACCTATTTATGATACTTAACGGTATTGGTGGGTTACCAGCATCTTTCGCTGACCGGGCGTCGCCCCGATGTTTATCTTTGTATCTTTCAGGTGATGCGTAGTCGAGCGCGATGTCTAGAGCCGGTAGCTTAGCACCTGTATCTTTAGACAGTGTTGTTGAGGCCTGTGTGCCAATGTCTTTAGATTGTTCTAGTTTGGTTGTTTTTGGGATAGTGATACACTTGCAGATTGTCGCCGTAGCGTATACCTAGTGTGGTATACGTGGCATAACACCCCGTTTTGGATTCCTTTTATCCAGTTATCTTTTATCTTCCGCTGTGCTAGTGTTTTGTTGTTAATCTGCATGTGTTAAGACTTGTTTTTAGGTCTTGTTGTTTTGGGGGTGTTACATGGGCGGAGAAAGGGGAAACGGAGGAGACATTTTTATATGAAGAGATTAACTAGGCCGGGTACTTTCCAGTACTCAAGCAAGCGGGCTCAGTGCTAGAAAGTGAGGGACTAGTTTAAGGGGTATAGACCCAATGGGCTTAAGGCCTAAGAAAAAAAGAAGAGATGGGCCAGAGATTTGGTCTACGGGAGTAAGCCCCAAAGGGGGAATAAAAGGAATCTACATCATGGGTCATTGGCAGGCCTAGAGAAGGATGCAATCGAATGAAGGTAGTCCAAGTCCATGGATTCGGCACAGATAGACACTCGGCGCGTGTAACACCCCTGATTTTTAAGACATTTAAAACTTAATAATAAAGGTAATATCTCATTAAATCCCAGAGTGTAGCATAAGTGTGCGGGGTGCTATGCCACACCTGGGCTAGAGAACCCAGGTGCACAGGCTATCTAACTACTATCCTCTGAAATATAAATGCATAACATGGCACGCAGGCCGAAAGGGAAACTATACTACTTCTACGCTCCAGTTCTAGCGCGCTCCAGTGCTCTAATCCTCTGTGCCTGAAAGCCAAATATATCTGTTCAGCGAGAGATGCTGGTAACCCACACCAACGCGTTGAAATACAATACATATAGAGATATATATAGATATACGAAAACCATTTTGAGCATGAAGATATATCCTACGAACTCTAGCTTTTAAAACCGGGAATGACTCGACAGATAAGGCCAGACACAAGCAACAGTTATAACAGTCATATGCAGTTCGCAATAGGTAAGGCAAATAAGGCAAGGCATAAACAATGATCACCCCCATCATAAACAATCCCCAACATAAATCCCACAGTCACATTTCTCCAAGACACTCATAATCACAAATCATCCGTATCACAACACATAGCACACTTTGTTGGCGCCACAGGACCAATCGCATGCCCATACATGAGGGTCAGCGCATGTAGCTCTGACACGGCCCCGCAGCACCCTGCCCCGTATCGCAACACAGAGGGGTCGATCGCAACCGACCGATGAACCGCAGCTCATCATAATGTTTGATCGCAACCAAACAGTGGACCGCAGCCCAAGAGAGTGTGTTACCTGACTGTAGCCAGGAATTCCCATCTGACTACAGCCAGCCTCTGAACCGCAGCTCAGGAAAGATGTCACCTGATTGCAGCCAGGAATTCCCATCTGACTACAACCAGCTTCTGGACCGCAGCCCAGGATACTGTCATCCGACTACAGCCAGGAATTCCCATCTGACTATAGCCGGCTTCTGAACCGCAGCTCAGGATAACCAATCCGATCGCAACCGAATTGGGGTAACACGCACACATAACACATAGCAAGCACATGCAACCCACATTACACATTGGGAAGGGGAATAAAGCGTATAACAACCTTATGCGTGATCCATCACGTACTAAGAATAGTCCTAAGGGGTTCATACTTCTTCCACCTAGGTCAACGGGATACCAATTCAACTAGCATGCAATATAATAGACTCATAAACCTACGAACGGTACCCGAAATATCAAATTAGACATAGGCATGACAAACAGGGTCCGTTGGGACACCACAGGGATCGGGGAAACATCAAACGGGGAAGCCAGGGTCCCGAGGGGGACAAATTCCAGCGGGTAGCCGGTGGGTGGGGGGTCCACCCGCCGGCTGCCCGCCGGCCATCACTGTTCCGGGCAGCGGGTGCCCGGCGGGCAGCTGCCCGCCCGCCGGCTGCCCGCTGCCGGGCTGCCCGAGAACGCCACGGGTAGGTGGCGGGTCCCCTACCCCCACCTACCCCCCACTGACTCTTTTCACCACTTTTCGTCCCGGGAACCGTTGTGGAACCCGAAACCATGCTTAGACACTTTACAACGCAATTAATGACAACACGTAGACAATTAACGGATCAAATACGAGAACCGAACGGCACATAATCTATCATGCTTTCCTAAATACAATTAACACCCAAACATGCGATTTCCCACCCGATAAACCAAGAATAATATCATACGATGCAACCTAGGGTTCTAATCACTTTTATATCAACAAGAGTACGATTCGTCTTCTAATTGCAAGATTCGGTAAGAATAACACATAAGCATCAAGAGCATCACACAATTATCAAGAACAACACATAATCATCAAGAACTTCATATAATCATCAAGAATTCCATAATCATCAAGAATCTCCCAATATCAAGATCATCAAGATCCCTCATGGGATCATCACATCAAACATCAATAATAATCATCATATCTCGCCAATACACAATAATATGGGGGAAACCCTAATGGGGAATCATAGCTATGAAAATAGGTTTTGTTGAGACATGGGTTACCTCTTAGCCTTAATTAATTCCTTGGCTATGAAGGATCTTTCTTTGGGGTCGTTTGGTTCACGGAATGTAAGATTACCTTAGGGAATGTTAGATTGCTGGGAATGTTAGATTACTGGGAATGTTAGATTCCTGTGTTTGGTTAAAATTGGGGTATGTAATATAATGATGTTTGGTTTAGGGTTATCTTTTATACACATTATAATATCCTTAACATATTTTCATATATTTTAATAAATTTAAAAATTAAAATAAATAAATAAGATAACGGTATCATATATAATTACATAATTTTAAAATATTAACTAAAATCTTGAACTTGAGAAACAAAATTATTTTATAAACTAACATAACATAATAAAAATAAAAAAATATATATATAATTACAAATATAATTTTATATATATATATATATATATATATATATATATATATATATATATAACTAACATAACCAAGGTTATCTTAGATTACCTAAGATTTTGAAGGGAATCACATTCCCTTCAAAACTCTATGTGGAGGGAATGTGACATTCCTTGGGAATGTTAGATTCCCTAAGATAATATGAACCAAACACCGGAATGTGAGCTTTGGAATGTCACATTCCCTTGGTTATCTTATATAACCTGAACCAAACGCCCCATTTAAGCTTTCTTGCTTTCTTGATTTCTTTTAAGGGGATTCTTGGAGCTCTCCAGGGGTGATGGGCGTGTATGCGTGTGGGAGGGCGTTTTAGGTGCTCCCTAAGTTCCCTATTTATAGATCCAAGGGTTTATTTAGAGTTTATTCCTATTGGGTTTAGGGGTTGGGTTTATATAATTGGGCCCATGGACTATGGTGGCCTTTTTCCCTAATTAACCATCATGATTTATTCTTTCTCCTGGGTTATTAACTAATTAATTAATTAATCAGTTGGTTTTAGGGTCCGTAACACGGGGTGTTACAGCGCGGGCGAGAGTCGACCCAGCAGGTGACCATTGCCACTTAAAGACCGCTTTTAATGCGGAGTCAACCCAGCCATTGGGGAGGCCTAATAACGGCGACTCAACGGCCCTTAGCCTTCATAACTCCATTATTTTGCATTATTACTTGTATTTAAATTAACGAAGGGTGGCTACCTATAAAAGGGCCCCCTTAGGGAGTGTAGAGGAAAGCTTTTTAGCCGGAAAACCACCAGAAAAGTATAAACAATACAGCAAGTTCATAGACATCTCTTTTCCAGCTCCTATTTTTTATTTGCGGTGAATCCACCAACCATGGTTGTGTTGGACCTCCTTGGGCCCAAAATCCCTAAAACCAACATGTGTCATAGGACCAAATTGATTAAAAAAATAAAATCAAAAGATTCAATTAGACAGTTTTGAAATAGAAGGATCAAATCGGTCAAATCGGTATAGTCAATGGATTGATAATTTAATATAAATATATGAAAAATTAATATCTTTTTTATTTTTGCGGCATACTTTAATTAAATTTAAAACTTATTGCATTGGAACATACACTCAAAGCAAATGTAAAACTCGAGAAACTACTTATACAAACAAACACATTTAAAACTATGGCAAATTATACAATATGTTAAATAAATTGTTGGAAGAAAGTAGTTGAACCACTCTACTATGCATAACTGAATTATCGGTTCATTCCTCCTTGAACTCCAGGAGCCGTCATTCCAACTCCCATATTTTGTCTGTCCATATTTCCTTCCCATCCTTGAAAAAGAGAAATAATACATTAGTATACTAAATAACATAAAAGTGCGTGCAATTTAGGTCTATCAACCTTTAATTTAATAATTTAAATAATATATTAAAATTAAAAATAAATTGTAAAAGTGAGAGATATATATATATACCAAGTGACATGTTGAATCCACGGTGTTTGAGTTCACGGTACTCTTGGCACAGAGCGCAGGATTCACAACAACAATGAACAAGGCAATCTCCACAGGGGCTTTCAGGCAACATATATTGCTTCCTAAGCTTAGAGCGATAGAAACATGAATAGAAACAAGGGCATCCAATAACAAATGCTATGAGACAATACAGGGCCCCACTTACGCCACAAGCTGCATTATATTCCACATAAACAAAATAAGTAAATGCTAAAAATTAAGAAATTTTGTTTCATACAATTACCATTTATACGGTGTGAACGGGTCTATAGATATATATTCCCGGATTAATAATGATTAAAAAAATACGGATGGTGCGTCCAGGTGCGGAGATGCGGTGAGATGAGAGTCATTTAAGGTGCGTGGTTTTGCTTCTTAAGGTGTATAGTTTGTGTGCTTAAAGTGCGTCAGTTGTTGAAACTTAAGGTGTGTCAGCCTAAAGCTTTAGGTGCGTGATTTTAATTTCTTATTAAGGTACGTGGTTTGTGTGCTTAAGGCGTGTCACTTGTTGAAACTTAAGGTGCGTCGGCCTAAAGCTTTAGCACTACAAGAAATTTCACACTTAGTGACAACAGAAGTTGTCACCAAAACTATCGATTTTGGTCACTATTGAAATTAGTGACCAATTTTTGAAATCGTCACCTGTTGTCACTATATCTCCGTCACTATTGTAGTAGTGACGACTTTTGAAAAGTTGTCACAATTACTCAATACTTTTGTGACAGTATTTACTTACACTAAAAGTAGTAGTTGAATGATAACAGTAGTTGTCACAATAAATGTATAATTTTAGTGATAAAGTGCGTTAGTTGTTGAAACTTAAGGTGCGTTGTTTTCCTTCTTAAGATACGCCATTTTTATAGTTTTTTTTTTCATTCAACAGTACAAAGGTGTTTTTAAGTTTTGGTTCCCAAGTTGAAAATAATCTAATTCAAAAGAAAAAAAATATATGATAGCAATATAATAATAAATAGTGGAGTTGTTATCTTTTGGAGTAAATAAGAAGAAGATGGATGCATTTGATGATGCTCGTTTTTATTTATTTATAATTTTTCATTGATTTGAGTCGTTGATCTAGATTTGATCAACGGCTCAAATCTAACCCCATTTTTCACCGGAGAGAATCTCCGCCCCAGAACTCATATATATATATATATATATATATATATATATATATATATATATATATATATATATATATACTTCTGCTCAAATGCGCCTACGCCTTCTCGTATGGTCGGTGCGGACGCTTGAAAATGCACCAATAGACAATGAAATGCATAAATACACCACAAAATACACAACACACTAAAAAAATGAATCATAACTCCCCACACCTACTTGTGCATTTCCGAACACTGTATGGTGCTTTTAGCATACCTAATAGTGCGTTTTTTTATGATGCGCACCTAATGGTGCATATTTTTATGTGTTATGCATTTCCTATCACTATTGGTGCATATTTGCATAACTATTGGTGCAAGCGCACTAACCGCATGTTAAGGTGCGCCCGCACTTGAGCTATACTCAACACACACACACACACAACCCATGAGTCTGTGTGGATATTCTACATCCATTGATCTTGACATTATTTATTGCTATGATTTTTATGGCCTTATTTTTAAAACTCTGGTGTATTCCCAATGGTTGATTCGTAATTTCTGTATGTATCTAAATTTGGTTTAATATTTTTAATGGTATTTTGCATGTTTTTAGTGATATATGATGACTTCACCGTAAAATGCATGCGCGCAATTAATTATGCATTTATGCTACATTGTACAAATGTTTAGGAATAAACTATCTCCACCTATTGTAACCGCCAAATAACATATGCACAGATGTTTTGAATACATTTCATAATAAAGAGGTTTTCATATACCACCCAACAATTCTTTTCTCAAAAATGCATATGCACACTTGTTTAGCAAACATTGCAAAGTATATAAGTGATAAACTTGTCATAGAGGTTTTTGATACATTGCACAGTATAGTTGAAAAAAACTTAACCTAGGCAATTTTAATCTCCAAATTGTTTATGCATAGTTGCTTAGGATACATTGCACATATTACAGGGAAATATCAACTCCATTCAATTTTAACCTCATATTTGCAGTTGCACAGATGTTTGTGATGCATTGCACAATATATAAGGAGTAATCTTACCCGTTCAATTTTTTTCCACCAAATTAAATATGCACAGATATTTTTATTTAATTACACAGTAAAGATAGCAAAATCTAATCCCCACCAATTTAAAACTGAAAATTGCATATGCACAATTGTTTAGGGTAGATTCCACAATAAAGAAGAAATAGACAAACCACAAACAATTTCTTATGCACGAAGAATTAGGAACAAAAATTACACCTAAATTAAACACCAATAAATCCACACAATCTTTATACTAAAACACCCAAAAATACTCTTAGCGGAACTAATCTCCTTTAAATCCATACACAAAATTAGATAATAAAAATAAACCAAATCTGTTTTTAAAAATCATTTATTTTAGTTTTTATTGAACCAGATCTGTCCACACGAGGAAAATGGTGGTCTTCATTATGTGGCGTTGTCTATTGTCTAAATCATAGATACAGTAGGCGCTAGTCGGACGCCTGGACAGCGCCTAGCGCCTAGGCGGTCTAGGCGGCGCTAGGCGGGCGCCAAAAAACAGTGGTAGACTAGCCGTTTGACAATTTTAATAAGATTGTTTTTAACATTTAATCAAATAACACATCCAAATAAATAAATTAATGATAATTCATAAGTCATAACATCAAAACAATGGTTTTCAATAAAAAAAAAAAAACATTAAAACAATATTAAAAATTAAAAATACTCAAATACTTCAATCATCCAAACATTCAAAGTATCGAACTAGTCTACGAGTGTATATATGTATTATTATATATATGTATGCGCACGCGCAAACACACATATATATAATAAAAAAAATAGGTCGAGCCGATCGGGTTAACTCGACCGAAATTGATGAGTTAACTCGCCTAACTTAGACGCTAGGCGGCCAAATCGGCCGAGTTAAGCGCTAGGCGGATGCCTAGGCGGCCGGTAACCTAGGCGGGCGCCTAGGGAGAAAATCGCCGCGATCTAGAGACGCCTAGCGCCTAGACGGGACCTAGGCGGGCACCTAGACCGATTTTTACAAGTCTGGTCTAAATTAAACACCCATAAATCTTTATACTTTACGACTATAAATACCCCACTATAAGATCTTATTTTATAACTTGGTATTCATTGATTTACGAACATAGTATTGGCAAGAGTTATTTACTTACAAATTGCCCCTTTGTCCGTAATTTCAGCAATTTGTCCAAATGTGATGCACGGGCAAAAACATGTTATGAAACCTGCAAAAATCTAATACTACATGAAATGTTTGAAAAATAAAAAATAAAAGATTTGGTTGCTTGCATGTGCGTGTGTGTGTAGAGAGAAAGAAAGAATTGTCATAATATGAACACTGAAATGTACGTACAATTTGAGACATCGTCACAGCAATTACAGAGATCGGAGGACCAAACGGCGGGAGCTTGATTTTGTGGTGGCCCACCTACCGGGATGCCAGTCGGGGGCTCTTTGTGAGGCGGCGGAGATTTATTATAATCGCTTGAAACTGATGGATACATATTTGAAGTAATTGGAGTTATGAATGGGAGGGAGAATGAAGATGGGAAATCATTATAATATTGTGGGGTATTTATAGTGGTAAAGGAAAGAGGAATAATGATAGGAAATAAATAAGAAGACCTGGTCAGAAAATATGGTCTGAGTGACTGCCAGGAAAAGTCTTCACTATTTTGATACGTAAGAAACTAAATCAAGAGTTCAAAATAAATATAAAAATTTGTAATTTATACCCCTTCATAATATGTCAATTATCAATGTCACCATTAGTGGTCTAAATGTTGCCCCTCAATTTTCAAAACGATACATATTTTGTTCATTCTTGTAGTGTAAATGTTACCTCTCAATTTTCTTCCTTAAGATACGAGAGGACAATATATGTATCGTTTAGAAAATTGAAGGATAACATTTACATCACTAATAATTCAGGAGTGATATTGATAATTGACATTTATGAAGGGGTATTAGTTACAATTTTTTCTTTAAATGAATTATTTTATAAATTATTACAAAATATTCTACCACCAACCTACTCAATTTGTATTTGTTTATATAATATTACCTCCGTCTCATTTTATGTCTTTAGTTCGGTTAACCAGGCTTGATTAAAATTATATTTAATTCAATTTTTCATAATATTTGGTGTAGTATTAATATGCAAAGTCTATATATTTAGAAATTACACTACAATTGTTATTAAAAAAATACTAAAGATAATAATAAAGAAGAAAGATTTAGTTTGATGAATGAGTAATAAGTAGGACACATAAAATGAGGGAGGGTGAGAGTAATAAATGTAGGAGACCGTGAGAGTACAGCCAGGAGGTGAGAACGTGAGAGTAGGGTCTAATTTTTTAATTTTTAATTTTTTTATTTTTGGGAGGTGAGAACGTGAGAGTAGGGTCAAATTTTTTTATTTTTTTTTTATTTTTTGAATGTTACTCACTTTATTACATTATAGTATGTGGTTTGATCTTATGACTCAACATATGGGAGAGGTTACTACATGTCATTTGAGTACAAGATGCTTGATAGGCCAGGGTCTAATTTAGATGAAGCTAACTTCATTTTATACATTACATAAATTATTTGAACCAATATATTGCGGTGGCATTTGGTTGGAGACTTTAAGACATTATTTATGTTTATTTAACTTCTTTTGTTATTATATTATTGACCTTATTTAGTAAATGATAGTTAGTAGATAGCTGTTACTTGATTGGGTTAGAGGGTATGACTAGTTGATAACATTGATTTATTCTAGAAAAGTGTTTGATAAATTAGTGTTGATAGCTGTTTGGTATAATTTCTTTCTTTAAAAAGCTAATTGAAAAAGTTGTTTTGAAAAGATTTTTGAATTTTAACATTTTGAAGTTACAAAAAATTAATTAACCAAACACTTATGATGGATTTAATTAACCCGGGGTGGACCCGAATCAATAAATCCGGATAAGAACGTAATATAAATAATATAGAATGATATAGCAAAAGGCCGTGACACCGTATATTATATTAATTGTCGTAGGAATTGGCTATTACAAAGATTCGGTAAGATAAAGTGTGTAATAAGTGTAGAATGTAGATAGAATGCCCCTTGTTAGGACAAGGAGGAGCGTTTTTATACAAGCCAAATTCTCCAACCGCCTCCCCTAAATCGGGGGTGGTTAGATCACCACTTTGACCGGGCCCGGGTGGACCGGGTCGGGTCGAGTCCCGAGTTCGGGTGGTGCCGAGCTCGGGTAGGGTCGTGTCATCCGACCCGAGCCCCACGTGGCTCAGCTCGGGTCGGGGCAGCTCCGTGGTGCTCCGGGTCCGTGTTGCTCTTGGGCTCCAATGTGGTATCCCGGGTCCGCATTGCTCCTGGGCTCCACCGTGGTGCTCTGGGTCCGCGTTGTTACCCCGGGTCGGGTCGTGGGTATAATATATCCATCATGAGTCCCCACTTTCTTCGTTGCGAGTGGAAGTCAACGAATGAGAGTATCCGTGCGCCGACCCGAGTCCCCTAGGTAGGAAATTCTGAGCTCTAAATTTTAGCCGACCTTGTTCTCCCTTGGTGATGTGCCAGACTTCTTATTTTGAATATTGTATGAACAATCTGCTCCTTTACTTTGGTGACGTGATGGTTGCCACCATTTACCTGCTATTATCTCGTTTTTTAGTCACTTGTTTTTTTTTTTTTTTGTGAGTCCCCCCCGGCTAGCGCCGAGGTGCTCAAACTCGGTTCGTGCCGAGGTGTGAGACCTCGGCACCGGCCGAGGCTCCAGGCCGAAGCGCGCTGTCGAGGTGTCACCACCACAGTGAACCTCGGCAATGTGCCGAGGTGGGAACCGGGTGGACCTCGGCATATGCCGAGGTCCGCCTTGGTGCACTTCGGCACATTGCCGGGGTGGTACCATGGTGCACCTCGGCAATGTGCCGAGGTGCTGCCATGGTTCACCCCGGTGTTGTGCCGAGGTGCGCTAGGCCTTGGTGTTTTTTTTTTTTTTTTTTTTTTGGCGTTGCGTTAGCCTCTTTAACGTAGTCCCATGAAACTACGCCACCGGGCTCTCCCATCGGGGTTGGTATGCGAGGTCGGACCTCGTGCCCCCTTAGGGTACGTCAGCCGCTCGAGCTAAGTCCTTCCGGATTGCGCCAATGGGCTCCTCCGTCGGGGTTGGTACGCGAGGTTGGACCTCGTGCCCCCTTAGGGTGCGCGCTAGCCGCTCAGACCGAGTCCTGTCGGACCAAGCCACCGGGCTCTTCCGTCGGGGTTGGTACGCGAGGTCGGGCCTCGTGCCCCCTTAGGGTGCGTCGTCCGTCGGGGTTGGTACGCGAAGTCGGACCTCGTGCCCCCTTAGGGTCCGCGGGGGAGACAACGGGTGGTTCCCTCTCATTTTACGTGGTTTTTTTTTTTTTTTTTTGGAAGATAGATAAGCGAAAACCCACTTCGTAACAAGGGTCCTTCTCACATTTCATAACATGAAATTTTATTCCGCTTATTGCCGTCCACTAAGACATTATTTGGGGGAGGGAAATGATCCTCCTCCTAGAATAGCAACGCCAAGACCCACCTCTCACGTGGTAGGTCTACTGGTAGAATTTCAGCAGATACTCTGAGTTCCAGACTCTGGCTATCATCTTTCCTTTGGGAGTTTTTAGCTTGTAGCTGCCGAGCGGACCACGGCTGCTACAATGTACGGGCCCTCCCAATTAGTGGCAAACTTTCCTCCGGCTTGGGGCTGGCTCGCCTCCTCCTCCTGAGCACATAGTCACCCACTATAAAATAGCGGGGTCGGACCCGCCTATCATGGTATGCTTTGGTTTGCCTCTGGTAGTTTTCAGCTCGGATCGCAGCTGCTTCGCGCCTGTCATCAATCAGGTGGAGGTCAATTTTATGGTTCTCATCGTTCGTGTCGGGGTCGTAGTCCTCCTCCCGCCGGGAAGGTATGACCACCTCTGAAACACCCCCCAAAACATGCTATATAAAAAGCCTTAACACATGTAGATATCACAACAAAACACTAGCACAGCGGAAGATAAAAGGTAACTGGATAAACGAAAATCCAAAACATTGGGTGTTATGCCACGTTTACCAACAACGATAAACGCTACGGCCAAATCTGCATGGTATACAACTATCCCAAAACTCGCAAATCTAAAACTAAACCGGCTTACAGGCCGTAAGACAAACGAAAGGAGCTACACTATCGGGCACTAGACATCGCGCTCGTCTAGACATCACCTGAAAGAACACAAATAAACATGGGACGACGCCCGGTCAATGAATAATGCTGGTAACCCACCAATACATGTGAAATAACATACATAGGTAAGATATAAGTTGTAAAGCCATTTTCGAAACGGAATACATAAGTATATAAGTCAAAAACCAAGATCAATAGCCAACATAAGACTCAACACTCTCAACAAACAACACGGGAACACATCCCGAGACCACGAGAACAACACAACTCACAAAAGAGTCAAGGCATGATCTATCATCACTCAATAGATCAAAACCGGACAAGTACAACGCAAAAGAATAAGACTTACACAACCGGCAACACATGCCAAGACAACACATGCCTTTGTGACTATACACATCACAAGAGAAGAACTCACAACACCGGCTACAATAGCCCTCGTGAAATCACCCATCACGAGTTGATATGCTTGCCTTATGCCCGGTTCCAACCTTATGGCTACCCCCAACCTTGTTTCTTCTTTTCAACCATTACCTCCAGGACCCCTGTACTTCTTAGTCCAACCTTTTCCCTCCGGGACCGTCGTCCCCCACCAACGACCACCAACGAGACCACCAATTTCATAGTACACAAGGTACCGTACACACACACGGCGACACACGCCTTCCCAAGAAAATACGTGAACCTGACACACAGGTCACAACTCCATAATCACGTCACGGCCACAACGAGGACCGCTGCAATACCTTGGTGACTAGTGTCCCATACCACTAGTCGTGCAATCCAGGTAAAGACACACACACATCACACCAAAACAGGAATCAATCAACGGATTACAACGAAGGTATGAAACATACTCAATCAAGGAATGGTCCACAGCCCACAACAACAACGATGAATAAGACAAGTTATCATCAACCAATCGGAAGGTACAAACAACACACATGCTAGCATTTAGACACCAAACTAGCATGCTCATCAAACGGGTAAACCAAACGTAGTTCCGAAGAACACACAAGACTCACCACGGTTCAACGAAACACAATGTTGAACACTTTAGCACGATTCAAGACACCAAAGTCCTACATGGATACCTACCATATAGTTCTAGACATACGAAACATCAAGAAGACACTCAAATAGTTCCACAAAAGAACATCGGGAAGTCAAAAGACCAAATACCAAGTCAAAAGAATCACGGGGAACAAATCCGATCACAACTCCACTTGTGTACCCGCGGGTGGACCCACGGGTAGTGCCCCACCCGTGGTTCCGCCCGCGGGAACACATTCCCACAAGGCCCGTACTCGCGGGTGGGGCGACGGGTGGTGCCCCGCCCGCCGTTCCGCCCGCGGGTACAATCCTTGT